CATTTACTAGAGTGATCATTAATTGAATCTATTTTTAATTAAAGTCATACTTTATTAAAATTGTCATAAATTGAAGTTGTCATTAATTGAAGCGATCATTAATTGGAATTATCAGTAATTAAAGCCATCATTAGTAAAATTTATTCTTAATTTCTGATAACTTTATTTATATTGTCTTAATTTTAATTGAATAAAAAATATTTTAAATTTTTCTTGAAAATAATAAATTTTTATTGAAGAAAACTAGTTTTTAATAACATGAATTGTTTTCTAATTGAAATTGGCCTCAATTGGAAATAATTTCAATTGATGGGTAAATTTATTACGATAATTAGGACGATAATTTGAGACATTATTGTTAAATAGTGAATAATGATGGAATATCGTGTATATATAAACATTGCACCAACATTCATGTGTTGTTGTTCATTATTAATTTCCATAACCAAATGCCGTTTAATCGTACAATCACACGTTTTGCAATAACCGTTAGTGAACCTTATTATCTTACATTATGCCATTAAAAACAATCTTGTACGTATTGATCATAAACCATATGTATATATCTATATACATATTCTCACATTCCTACAAACAATTATTATTGGATAAATCTGATTAGATTTGTTACTAATTTTATATAATAATTCTGATTGTGTAAATGAATGTGTTTCTTTAGGTGATCATTATGCGATTAAATTTTTATCAAGAGATAAAGATAGAAAGTGTGTGTGAGTGTGTGAAGTGAGAAAAACATCTCATTCCTAGATCTTATGCAATGTCTATGGAAACTCTTAATTTATAAATTAATCGACAAGATCGAGAACATATTATTTTTATATTTGTGAAAATCTTCTTCTTCGCGAGATATGATGTAATTTTTACGCGCACTTATATTGAAAGAAGGAAAAAAATAATAATGTTTAGTAATAAATAATTATAATTAGGAATAATTTATTAGTTATAACATTTATATGGTTAGTGTGAACTTCATAATTACGAAAAAAAGCATACAAACATTGTTTATATTTAGATAATTACTTCATAATTGAGTATAGATTTATTTTTAGATTATTAATATATGTTGTGTGTGTTGAAATTTACATCGGGACTGTGAAGAAAAATTTTAATGAGAAAAGGTGTATTATTGGTAAATTTAATTGGTAATTATTAATTATTAATTACTAATTACTAATTACACCGACCTAATTAATAATTAATTATTACACCGCCCTAATTAGAAATTAGGTCGTTGGTAGTTTTTATAAGTAACAACTGTAGTCGCTGGGAAATTTGATTATTTTCGGGGAAACAAAAATTTTTTTTACTCAATAGTAATTTTTATACTTGAAAATTTTTGTTGCTGCTAAACTAAAATTAATAACTTTTTTAAGTAGTATTAATCCTTGATGACCTTTATGACATTAATAATTTCTCTAGTTAATAACTAATCTAAATTCTCCAGAAACGAAACTTTAAAACTTTTTTTCAAACTAAAAAAATTTTTTAATGTCTCGTAAAAGTATATTGATGATAAAAAAAATTTCCACACCATTTATTGACTAATCTACCATAGCATCAAAAAAAATATCCATAAATTGAAGTCACTATCTCTAGAACTAATTCCAAACTATTTTTAACTTCTATTTTTAAAGTTATTTTTGAACTTTGTTATTCACTAATTTGAAAATTATCCGATATTTCATCAAACTAAAAATATAATTATGGTAAATATTTTTCATATAAGTAGGAATGATAATAATTATTCTTCATAATCTAAAAAAAGAAATAAAAGATTATAAATAATAATAAATAATTTGGAATGTTGTAAGAAAAAAAGACACTATATCGACCTCCAAATCTTCTTTTTTTTTGGGTGTGACCTTGGTTTATTCAAACGGTCCCTATGTCGTCGGAATAACGGCACTCTCTGTACCGGAAGATCAGAGGAGCATGATATTTTGGCATTTCAGAATTATCCCGTGTAGAAATCGCCATGCTATGCCTAAAATGATTATTGGCCCTACCTAGGACCTAACTTGGCAACCCCTTTTTATATAGCCTAGGCTGGTCCTAACTTGGTACTAGCTAGGTGATCCAGTTATGACTTATAAAATTTTTTAGGAAAATAAAGTGATTATATGTAGAATTTTTTAAATATTCTCAATTAATATTTATGAAATTGATTGACAATAATCATATTTGTTTAAACATTTTATTATTGTTAATTACTAATTTTTATTTGAAGTAGACCAACAAAGATGCAATTTTTTCGAAATTTTGCAACTTATTCAGATGAATTTATTTATTCATTTGTTATCTCAAGTCATAACGGTTTTGTTTACATTTACCATTTCGGAAATTGTTTAATCAAATATTTGTTATAAATTACTAACTATTGACATAAACTATCTAAAAACTTGCAGTTTTTTTTCTAATTTTGCAATCAGAAAATAGCAGTATGAAATAAAGTTAATTTATCAATTTATTAATTCAGCAATTGTTTAAACAATTAATTATTATTTACTAACTTTTCACACAAACCATCTAGAAAATTGCAGTTTTTTCTAATTTTGCAATCAACTAATTACGAACAGTATGAAATTCATTTATCTTTAAAAAGTATAAATTGAAAATAATTTTAATTCTAACTTTAATAATTCAGAAATGGTTTGAACATTGTTGTTATTTAATAACTTTTGACTCAAATTACCTAGAAACTAGGAGTTTTTTCTAATTTTGCAATAACTAACAACTCAGATTAGTTCAGTGCAAAATTTTTTAAAACCGCATGTTTCTAGATGGTTTGTGTCAAGAGTTAGTATATAAAAATTATTTGTTTAAACAATTGATGAATCGTTATAATCATAAAATATCCTAAACTTTTACTAATCAAATTGGTTATTTTGCCAAATTGAAAAAAACTGTAAGTTTCTAGGTTGTTTGTGTGAAAAGATAGTAACTAACAATTGTTTGTTTAAACAAATGCTGAATTGTTGAAATTATAAAATATCTTCATTTCAAAGTTTTTAAATTAGTTTATTGCAAAATTAGGAAAAACTGCAAGTTAATAGTTACTTTGTATCAGAAGTTAATAAAAAAACAACATTTATTTGTTTAAACAAAAAGCTGAATTGTTACAATCATTAATTATCTTCATATTTTACTAATCAAGACTAGTAATCGCGAAATTAAAAAAAACTGCACTGGGAGATATTACAATTTGAATGTGGGCTGACCCACCCAGGTCCTACCTAGGCCCTACCTAGGCTTCCTAGTTTCATTAGTAAAAATTTCTAAGTCCAAACCTAAAAAATTTTTTGCGACAAAAAATTAATGTTTAAAATGACTTAGAATAATGAAAAACGTGATTTTAACATAAATTTTTTGACATTTTTTTTTTTTGAAGAGTGGATCACCCATATAATTATTTAGCAAAAATAGTCCAAACAACAAATATTTTTTTAGACCAACAAATTAATGTTACCAATGATTTAGAACAATGAAAAACGTGTTTTTAACAAAAATGTATATAGACATTTTTTTTTCTTGATGTTATATAAAAATATTAATTTATGAACATTTATCTTTGAATATTATTTTATTATTATTGTTGTTAAACTATTTATTTACTTATTATGGCGTATTAGTGTCAATAAATACTATATTGAATCATTAAAAGCAAGTCAACAAGTCACTGACAATAAAACGTCGGTGTTCAGTTAGGCTCCGTAGTATAGTGGTTAGGGCGTTAGACTCGTAGTCCGTAGGTCGTAGGTTCAATCCCCGCGTGCGTTAGATTTTATTCGTTTCTCAGGTTTGCGTTTATTCCGATTTTTCTGCATTGAATTCTTATAAGTATGCAATTTAGTGATTATATGTACCGTTAAATAATTTAATTAACAAATTTCTAATTTTTTTTATAATTTTTGATGTATATATAAAGGGGTATATATTAAACCCTATAACATTATTTGTGAGTTCGCTTTTGGTAATTATTTGATTGAAAAAAAAATAATAATTAAAGCTGTTACTTATTATTAATAATTTAAGATTTTTATTTAACAAATATTATAAACTAATTGAAATTATAAAGAAATAAAAAATTCTCCCTGAGATGGTCCTTTCTAGGTCCTACAATGGACCCATAAACTGGTCCTAACTAGGCTCCCTAGCTAGGACCTGGCTAAAATCGCATCACCAGCCATTGTTGGTCCAACCTACGCTGCCAACCTAGGACCTAGCTAATAACAGGGCTAAATAGGTAGGACCAAGCTAGGACCAGTTTTCATTTTCCACACGGGATGGCCCATGAATAACCCCATCAGCTATATGTACACGTTCCTTCTACGGTCATTGGGTTAGGTAACCGTTTTAACGGATGGTCTTTAACATTACTCAGTCATTATTATTTCTTCTTTTTCTTCTTCTTTCATTCTTAGCATTCGAAATAAATTATAGATATGTATGTATAAAATTTCAAGGATTAAATATTACATCAAGATAATATTCGAAACAAGTTCATTATTAAATCAATATAAAAATTTATATATGTGTGTTCATATAAATTTTTATATTGATATAATGTACCTACCTTGTTTATTAGTATTCAATAATTATTCTATCGATAATAATGATTTTCATGCAATTTACACTGGGAATATTAGATCAATTTTTGCAAGAAGAAAAGAAGAAGAAAAAAATATTAATTAGCTGAATATCAATTAATATTTTATTATCCTTTTGCAATATATTGCTTCCTTGGTTGCATTATTTTATACTGTACCAATCCCATATAGTCATAAAATTGTTTTCTTTGTTATTTGGTTAAGGTCAATAAAAAATAAAAATAGAGGAGAGTTGAAAAAAATTGATAATTTATTCGCTTATTTATATTACGTTTATAATTGGAAATTAAAGGAATATTTAATCAAGAATAAATTAGTGATCTTTTATTTATAGGAGATAATTTAATTGTTTTGTTTTTTTCTTTGTTGCAGATAATGGCTTTAACAGTGAGTAACATCAAACTTTGGTAATGCATTTAGAATTAAGTGATATTTAATATTAAATAATTTTAGTCGATGGTGATATTTATTACTGGCAATTTTAATTCTAGCTAATAGAATTTCTAGGCACTGGTAGCATTATTCATTGACAGAAATATTTGTGGACAGCATTGGTCATTGGTAGCATTAATTATTGGTAATGGGACTCGATAGCATAAAGCATTGGTAGCATTCGTTATTCATAGTAATAGTTATTGATACTATTAGTTACTGCTACTGGTAGCAGTAGTCATTGGTACCCCATTAGTTACTGGTAGCAGTAGTCATTGGTACCATTAGTTACTGGTAGCAGTAGTCATTGGTACCCCATTAATTACTGGTAGCAGTAGTCATTGGTACCATTAGTTACTGGTACCATTAGGTTACTGGTAGCAGGGGTATTTGATACCATTAGTTACTGGTACCATTTATTACTGGTAGCAGTAGTCATTGGTACCCCATTAGTTACTGGTAGCAGTAGTCATTGGTACCATTAGTTACTGGTACCATTAGGTTACTGGTAGCAGGGGTATTTGATACCATTAGTTACTGGTACCATTAATTACTGGTAGCAGTAGTCATTGGTTCCATTAGTTACTGATGCCAGTAGTAATTGGTACCATTAGTTACTGGTAGCAGTAGTCATTGGTACCATTAATTAATGGTAGCAGTAGTCATTGGTGGCATTAATTAATTGTTTCATTAGTCAGTCATTGATAAATTTATTGACAACAATAATCGTTGATTGAAAGTTCTTTTTTAGTAATGTTTCTAAGTAGCATTAATCATTGCTGGCACAAGTTATTGGACTTAGTAGGCATTGATACAATTTGTTGTTGTTGTTAGCAGTAGTCTTTGGTACCATTACTTGTTGGTAGTAGTTGACATCGACAGCATTAATTATTGCTTGCAGAAGTTATTTAAATCTGTAGACATTGGTACCATTACTTATCAGTAGCAGTCGTCATTGATAGCATGATTCATTGACAGCATTAATTAGTGGTACCATTACTGACTACTGATTCCAGGAACAAATACTGTCGAAGATAAACAACATTAGTTCCTGGTCATTAGTTCCAATCAGTAGTCATTGACAGTAATACTCATTACTAACAATAACTCATGTCAAGAACCCCAAAAAGAACAAAAGCATCGAAAGAAGAAACACATTGAAGAAAAAAAAATCTTCTCCTCTGGCTAATTTAAACTTAATTAGCATGAAATTTGACAGTAGGAAAATTGCAGGGTTGCACTCCTTGCAGGTATCGCATTGTGTTTGTACATAAATACATATATACACAATAAATACCGTTGGGTCATAATGCACTGGAATAATGGGCGATCTAGTTTTTTGTCGTACCGGGCCATTAAAACACTTAAGTAAGCAGCTTTGAGGAGCTATCAGTGCGTTGCTTAACGGTAACCTGCCGGCAAACAATTCGAATGAGATCCGTCGCGATGGTGTCGGTTGTTCAGTGGTGTTTGTTGCCATTGCCCGTTTTGCCGTTGAGCCATGCTCTTTGAATGGGGTCTCACCTTTGCTCCACATTGCATGGCTCGTCGGTGCAAAATGTGGGACGCTGCAAAACCGTATCCGGGCCACAGAGCAATATAATAACAATAAACAAATGACTTCAATATTCAACCATCACCCACACAACGCACTTGAAAAATAAAAAAATTTTATTTCTTTCATATTTCATTACCCAGATCAACAAAGAATTTATTATGTTGTTGCTGGTGATTTTTTTCTCTCTTTTTTTATTTTAATCGTATGTGCCCATATTTTCCAGGTTTATTCTCGTCATATATGTATAGTATAATTATAGAAACAGTTTGAATGGGCAAATAATCGCGTGCGACCGCAAATAATAGGGGCCTTTTAAAAAATTGTTGTCGGTTTAATAAAAATCAGTATTTTTATGGATTTTAGTTCTTTTAGTGATATTTTTATATAAAGACTAATTTTGCTTGGAATAAATGCTTTTGTTTGTCGTTTGTGATTTTTTTCCACGACAATAATGTAGATCATGATCTAAATGAATACTCTGCTTTAGTGTTCTGAGTTGTGATCTAGACCAAGATCCAGACAAGAGTTACATTAAAATCTGGATCAAAAATCAACGGTTAGGTAATATTATTTATTGTTTGACAATTACAGAATTACAATTACAATTACAATTAAAATTGCAGAAACAAAAAGAAAATATTAATAACTAATAATTACAATTATTAATAGTCACAAAAACTATTTACAGAATTTAATAATAAAGTAAAAATGCTACTATTTTTATTATTATATTTAAATATTAATATACTTCAGTCTTATTATCACCTACTAAAATTTTCATTAATCACTAACATTAAAAAATAATTATTAATTATTAATATATGCCTAATATAAATATTTGTTCGTATTTTATTCAATTAAAAAAATTTCACACACATAAACAGTACATTTATAATTTAATAACACTTAACTTTTAAGAACCAATAATAATTGTTCTTGAAAAATTAAGTAATAGGTAATAAAAGTAAAAATATTAATTAATACACTAAGTGATAATTAATAATTTATTAAAAATTTAAAATACATTAATACATTAATTAAATAATCATCTGGACAATATGAACTAGGTCAAGATCTGGTTCCAGATTATGATCTAGATCATCATTATTAAGTATTACTATGTAGGAAAATTTCCTATGTTACATAAAATAGTAAATCTTGAAACTTGTTTATGCAATTTTAATTATTATTCTTATTATTAATTATTACTGGCGCAATAAAAGCCGCTCGAGAAGCATTACATGTTGAATTATTATTTTTATACCTGCAGAAAATCTATTATGAAAATAAATCAAAATAAAAATAGTATTTTAAAAATAATCTTTTGTAGAGTTTTTCTTAACAAAGAAAATCAAGACAAACGGTAAAGATTTTTTTTCCTAAAAACAAATAAATAAAAATCAGTTTAATTGAAATTCATTTCCAAAAAAATTATTTTTATTGAATGAAATTAATTTGCAACATGTTTTTAAAAATATTTTTTAGTTATCAAATTTTTTTGCACTATTTGACATTTTCAATTATTTATTAAATTTATTCAAAAAACTAATTTTACGTCTGGACAGATGGATAGAATATTTGGACGATTATTGTACATTAATTAATTATTATAATTAATTTATTAATATTAATTAATTATTATAATTAATTTATTAATAATAATTAATTATTACCTATAATTAATTTATTAATAATAATTAATTAATATTTTGTTAATTAAAATTTGTGTCAATTATCAACATTATTTAAAAAAAACCCATTATTATTTAAAATGATATCAGAAATAAAATGAAAGCTTGACCTCTAAAAATAGTAGTAAACAAATTTTTTACCATTTATAAAAAAAAAGAAAATTCCCAATAATTTTTTTTTTTTTTTGCAATATAATAAAATTGAAATTATAATGTAATAATTGGAGAGAAAAAATCCAGTCGGTCAGAATAGTAAATAAAGGATCGGAAATGAACGAGTCCAACCGTGATCGGTAACGGTTAGGCACTATCCGTTACGTTCTTGTATTGTAATGTAATCGATCATGAGATAAGTTGATGAAGGTGGAATCACCTGTTTCCTGTCCCTGTTAAAGCTTTGACAAGTTTTTTTCTTTAAAGATATTCCTCTCTGCTTATTTATAATAATATGCAAGCGATGAATGTATAATTTTTTTATTATAACATTGAAAAAAAAATTTTTTTTTTACATTTATTCTTGATTAGAAAAAAGATGTAATTTTTTTTTTCATTTCCAATTGACATTATTAGCAATAATGTTTTGACACCATTCGTCAAGTTTTATTTTAAATTATTCGTCATGTTTAATTTCTTCTCTATTTTTTCTTCTATTTTTCTTTTTCTACTTCTTCTCTTCCTTCTTCCTTTACTTCTTTTCCTATTCTACTTTTTCTATTCTAGTTTTTTTTCCTTTTCTTCTTTTTTCTATTCCAATTCTTCTTTTCCTCCTTCTCCTTCTACTTCTTTTTTTTATTTTTACCTTTTTTGCTTTTTGTTGTTTATGTTGTTGTTGTCGTTCTGCTTTGAAGTTTGCTATTTGTTTTTGATAAATATAAAAACGACGTGTTAATGCTTTTTAATATTTTTTTTTACGAAATAGTTTGATACGATACTTTCTAGGAACGTTTTTAATTTCATCTGAAGAAATATAAATCAATCAACTCTCATAATCGTGCGCGCAATCATATAAGAATCTTGCATCATCTTAAGAAAAACTTAAGATTTGGATCAAGAACATCGGCGCTGATGGTTTTATTCTTTTCATTTAGCGAATCTAGCGAGTGCATAAAACAGAAATACACAGGGTCGTTGAAAACTATTATGAGATAAATGGTGATCTAACACTTTACGCAATATCGCTATATTGCCAGTAGATCAATTAATTTTCAATTGCAAAATCTTTTTACGATTTGTATTGCGTGAGTGATGAACAAAGGGGTCTAGGTCAGTGGACCTCTCGTAATATCCTCTTCTTCTTCTTTCCTTTTCTTCATCTTTTATTTCTTCTTCCATTTCTTCTTCTTGTTCTTCTTCTTGTTTATCTTCTTCTTTATCACCTCCTTTTTTATCAATCTTTTCTCTTTTTCCTTTATCGAAAAATAATCCCTGATAATGCTTTGAATTTATATCCTATGTGATTGGAGAATTAAAATATCCTAAATTACCAAAGTTCCAAATAGGGACTTTCAGGAAACATTCGTGTTGGTCCCTTGGTTACAAAATTTCTACAAATTAGAAATTTTCATTAAAATCCATTAAAAAAGTTTAAAACTAAAAGAATTTAACTAAAAATGGTAAAAGATGAAAAATTAGAAAAAAGAAGTTGCTCAGAAGAGACAAAGTTCTAATGTTCATTTTTCGAACCGTTATTTCACCTTCGACGTTCC